TCCCCTGCGGGAGGAACCGGTCGGCTCTTCCACCCCGCTCCCAGGGGATGACGCCGCTCTCAGGGCTTCATCCCGACTTTCCAGGCTGCTTTACTTCCAGGCATATTCTAACACGAGGGGCACTTAAGCCAATTCTGCCTGGGTTGCGTATGACGGCCATGTGTTACGAGGGCCATATAATCCTGAAGTAAGTAGATAAATACTGAGCTAGACGCTGAATTGAGGCCATTCATACGCGCATGTGGCGGCTGAATGCTAAATTAAAACTTTAATCTCTCCAACTTTTATTTTTACAACTTCAAATCTCCAGGAAAATTGAAAAAGTATACAATGAGACTGTACAGTGGACATCGACATCTGGTGCGGGGGAGGCATTTTTAAAATATTTTCTTATTGATTTCAGAGGTAGGGAGAGAGAGACAGAGACATGGGCTAAGGGAGAGACGCCCCTGCAGGCATCGGCCGCCCCCATGCCCCTGGGGACTGAGCCTGCAGCCTGGGCGGGTGCGAGGCCGGGAATCAACCGAGGATCTCCTGTTGCACGGGACAGCTCAGAGCCACGCCAGCTGGGCTAGTGACTTTATTTTCAAAAACAATTTTTTTTAAAAAATCTCTTCAGGTATTTAAAAGTATTTTTTATTTTGAGAAAATGTTCAGCTGATCAAGTATGTACTCACAGATCACACATATTTATATTAGATACACACTTACTTTATATATCATATCTTTAATATATATTGTATGTTCAGTACAGATTTATATTACATATAAGTATTGTCCTTATTGGGGAAAATTGTCCTAAACTAACAATGTGTTCCAATGAAGAAGACTAATCCTCAAGTTTATCTGTAACTCTAAGAGAGAATACTTTTTTATTTTTTTTGTTAATCCTCACCTGAGGATATTTTTCCATGGATTTTTAGAGAGAGTGAAAGGTAGGGAGAGGGCGGGGAAGAGAAGAGAGAAATGTTGACATGGGAGAGACACACGGATCGGTCGCCTCCTGAAAGCACCCTGACAGCGCCAGGGGTTGTACCAGCGGCCAGCCAGGTTCCAGCCCCTGACAGGGAATTGAACCTGAGACCCTTTGGTTTGCAGGCTGATGCTCTAACCACTGAGCACACCGGCCAGGGCTCCAAGAGAGAATATTAAACATAACTGTATTTTTTTAAAAAACTAGCTTTTTCTGGACATTTTAGTTAAGATTCGTTTATATCCATTTTGTGAAGGGTTCTGAACCCCAGGTGAGACTTAATCTAGGAGAAACCAACGTGTCGGGGGCACCGTTAGGTGGAAGGGCTCCCAAGTAATGTTCTCTCCTCCATTGTAAGTTTTGAAAAAGAATCCTGGTTCCAGAAAAAGAGCAGTGGTACCAACAATTTGGACAACTTCCTAAATCTCTTTAACTTTTGAGGCTAAGTTTAGAGAACTGAGAAAGAGACAAGGATCACTTCAGAGACGATGCATATTTTTTTCTAAAGTGTATGGGATTCTTTTTTTTTTTTTAATTTTACACCTTCTAGGGACTGATCTATAACTTTTTTGGAAGGTCACAGGATACATTTCTTTTTAACAGCTCCCTGTTTAGTGTATATATTATGGGGAACCACAGGTAACCCTGCCGATAAGCCTTTAGGGCCATTTCTCAGCCTGGTTGATTACTCATATACTTTATTTTTTCCAAAGTTCCTGGAAAAAATCACTTGTTTTCTAATCTATTTTTAAAAAAATTGGTTATGGAGAGAGGAGTGGACCTCTTTATGGGCCCTGGAAGTAAAACATAAATATCTTTTAAAGTTCTGTTTTGCTATAAACCTTACTGCTTCTCACTTCTTTTTCAATACACAACCCTTTTTATGATTTTGTGTGTGTACATTATTTACTTGTTTTAACTGCTGCTAAGGTTCCATGGTGTGTGCTGCTTTCACATTTTCATGTATTGCAATACTTTCTTACGATGGATACTTTTACTAGCTCCAGCTTCCACTTATCACCAGCAAAGCTGCTCTGAATATCCTTATCAATCAGTATGAGACTATTTCTGGAATGCTTATCTAAGGGCAGGGTTCTGGGTCATAGGTATAAGCTACTTGATTCAAGCAAGTGCTGCTGGATTTTTCTCCAGAATAGCTGGACCTGTCTGTACTCCATCGAGAGGCAGAGGATTATGTCCCCACGTCCCTGCTAATTCTTTTCAGTATTCTGTTCTAATTTTACACACATACACATGCAATCGAGGTATATAGTTTTTGTTTTAAATTGCATTTTTGTATGATTTGAATTTGAACATTTCTTCATATCCTTAGCCATTTTGGTTTTTCCCTATGTAACTTTCTTTTTTCTATATTTTATCTGCTTTTCTAATTTGTCCTGACTTTTGGGGGGGTTGTTATCAATTTGTAGGAGTTTGCTGTCTATTCCAGTTATTATTCCCTTGTCACTTTCGGGTATTGGAAATATCTTTTCTCAGTCTATAACCTGTCTATTGAACGTAAATATTAATTTTTATATAATCAAATCCATTCTTTTCCCTTATGGTTTAATTTTTGGAATTTTAAATTCTTTCCTATTTTTAAACCACAAAGAAAAAAATCCCCACCATTTTGTTTTATTAGCTTTATAGTTTAACCTTTCACATGTTAAGCCTTTAAGGCATCTGGAGTCAATTTTATATGGTGTATAATAGTTCTTATGACATTTTTTTTAATAGAGTGCCTACCAAGAGTGAGGTACTGTTCAAAGTATTTTGTATACATCTGTAAACAAACAAATATCCCTTCAAACCAAGTGGAGCTTATGTTGTCCTACAGAGTCACCACCCACTTTGCTCTAGTGCTCAGGATGAATTCCAGTTTTATACATAGTGTGTTAAGGAATAGACTTTATTGGGGGAAGGGAAGACTTAATAGGCTAGGGTCAGAACAAAAGAAAACAAAAGTCCATCATTCTTTGATTATCCAAACAAAAGTCTGCTGGGGCCTAGGCAGTCTGCTGGACTGCTGAATGGGCATGATGTATTTCTATTCTACTGGAGAACCGCAGACTCATATTGGTCTTCTTATAAGGTCACATGTGAGATCAGCCTTAATAATGTGAGGAAAATCAGACCATTTTGTACCAGGCATTCTAGATTTTGATGCCAGTTAATTATGAACTAAGTTGACAGAATACCAACTTCCCAGTAGTTGGAGATGTTGAGACCTGAGAAGAGGTGCAGCCCTTGCTAAAGTGGAAAAGAAGACTCTACTAGTTTTCTAGTGCTGCAGTAATGAATTACTACAATAATGTGCATATTGATAACTTCTGTCACTTAATTATGCTGTTTTAGAATATTGTACTGGCGCTTACAAGATATGTAATTTGTAACACAAATCATAGCTAGGGTTAACTTTAATTTTACATCACTGTCAGTACAATGCTAGTAAAGCACATTCTCATTCTGCTGATACAGTACAGCTTTTAATTGAACAGTTGTAGTTCATCTCCATGTTGATTTTTAAGCTGCAGGTTTAGAGTGAAGTTGCTGTAATATAGTTGACATACCTTTCACTTGATTTTGAAGTAACTTGAGTTAATTTATTGACTGAGATTGAGCTGAACAAATCCCAAGAAATCCAATAGAATGATGAAGAATTCATGTCAGGCTACTAAGTACCATCTAAACAAAAACTAGTTTGTCAGCATCATGTGGATTTTCTTTTATGTGTAAAGATTACTTCTTCCTGTTCTATTGCCCTCTGCTTTTATTTGAATTGGTCTCTACTTGTGTAGCATTTCTGTTTGTGTAGATAAGTTCAGGATGTCTTAAAATTTAACTCTTGCAGGGCTAAGCTTTTGAAATACTTCAACCATGACAAAAAGAGAAGCAGAGGAGCTGATAGAAATTGAGATTGATGGAACAGAGAAACCAGAATGTACAGAAGAAAGGTTGGTGCTATCTGAATTTACCACATTTTATATTATCAGCATACCTAATTAAAATTAAGAATCAAGCCAGAGTTCTTTGGGGGCCTTTTTTTTTCTTCCTTCAACTGATGTTAGCATTTTTGGGGATAATGTATTGCTTTTTTCCTCTAATTTGTGGCTGGCAGGGAAAGATAGTTTTAAACTAAAGATAGTAATATGCATAGCTAGTAATGATCAGGCAATTGATTGTGATGGTTTTTAGCTGTTAGGGCACTGTTTCTTTTTTCTTTCATCTATGCTGGTTATTTTGATTTCCTATAGTGTTTATTTAGTTCACAACCTGAACTGATTTAACAAATATCTGTAAGGAACTACTGTGTACTGCCAGAAGTATATATGGGACGGTTACCTGCCCTTGTAGAGGCCACCATGTATTTGAGGACGCATACATGTATATGAGTGATTATGTGCACAGTACTAAGCATATACAGTAGTGAAAGGTGTTAGTTCTTGGAATAGTAATAGAATAATACTGACTCCATTAAGGAAGGAGGGCAGAGGTTGTACATTCAGAATCCAGAGGGAGAATATAGGTAAAAATAGATTTGGGAGTCAAGAGGAAGGTTAAGGAAGGTTAGGGGTTAGGGCTAATGGTCCTGCTTTGCAGAGATGAAGATAATATGCTGAAAGTAGAAGGGACTAAAGAGTAGAAGAGAGCTTCTGTATAGTAATAAAGGTTTAGAATAACTGCAGTGAGAATGGACCAAATTACTAAGGTTGAATAGGATGCTGAGTGTTGGGAGTGCAGCTGAGATTTAAGACCTTAATTTTTATAAAATTTGTTTTATTGTGGTGAGAACACTTAACATGAGATCTACCGTCAAGAAATTTTTGTGTGTGCAATACTGTGTCATTAACTATAAGCACATGTTATACAACAGATCTCTAGAACTTACTCATCTGGCATAATTGAGATTTATACCAGTTATTTAGCAACTCCCCATGTTTTCTGCCAGTAGGCTCTGGTTATTTATGCCACCTCCTCTTCTCAGGGGAAAGGCCTGGCTCTAGCTCTTAAGACAAACCCCATGTTAGTTGTCATCGGTCCTGTCCTCTGCTACCATGCCCTGGCATAGAAATATGTCCCTGACAGAAAAGGTCATGACTGCCCTAGAGACCTTAAATTTTTAATAGAGGATTTCAACATGTTTGACTATGCTATTTTCTCCAGCAGAAGAAACAATAGTGACTGCATGTCTCTCTTAGTTTTCATATGTATTCATTCATTCATTCATTCATTCATGTGACAAATTACCCCAGAACTTAGTTCTGGCTCAGGGTACTTCATGAGTTTGCAGTTAAGCTGTCAGTCTGGCTATAGTCATCTGAAGAGTTGACTGGGGCTAGCATATCTGTTTCTAAGATCACTCATAAGACTGGTAACTATTGACTTGCTCACCTCATGGGCTTCTCTGTAGGGCTGCTCATGACATGGTAAATGTCCTGAGAGAACATGCTTACCAAGATGGAAGCCGCAGTGTTGTTCTACATAACCTAGTTTAAGAAGCCATATATCACTTCTGTGTTAGTCTTTTGGCAACACCAGTTGGTGATAAGTCTACCACTGTGAATGGTGCCTGTGCAGAAATGTGTTTCAAAGACCAGAAATATGTTTTAGTATTTATTCAATTTTGGTTTGAGCATATTGTTACTTTAATGTTCAGGGTAAAAACATAATTTTTAACCATTATATCCTTTAACATTCAGCATTGTAGAACAAACCTACACCCCAGCTGAATGTGTAAGCCAGGCCATAGATATCAATGAGCCAATAGGCAATTTAAAGAAACTACTAGAACCAAGACTACAGTGTTCTTTGGATGCTCATGAAATTTGTCTACAAGATATTCAGGTAATCTCTTTTTTTTGAGATTTATATTTTAGCATTTAAGTCTGATTGTGGTAATGCTTTTGCGTTTTCACATGAGTGTTCACTTCAAAGCTGATGGAACAGCTGAGTTGCAGTGTTTGAGGAGTGTGACCCACGATCAAATACCACGCTTGAGTTTTGTCCTTGTGCCAGGTTTTACTGAACTAGTTCATGTATTCAGTAATGAGAGCTCAGTTTCAGAGTTTTGCATGCCATCACTCCTAGTGGATTATACCAGTGTCCACTAGAGAGGGCAGAAATCTTGATATTAGGAGAATTTTTACCGAAATGTCAGGCATAGGCCATTATATTGAGACAAACTGGCAAGTTTGACCTCTCTCTCTGCAGGGTTTACACAGTTTGTTGTGTCCCTGATTAAGTTAGATGCATAGTCATTTAAGGCTTTAGGCTTTATACGTATCACATTTTTGATATTAGAAAATGTGTTTGTACTGTGACTACAAAATGTGTCAGTACTGACTGAACTCTTGGGAATGAGTGGGGAGCTTTGTACCTCCAGCTCTATGATATGCAGACACATAGAGATAGATAGACACTATTTGGATAATTACAGTGGAAGCCTGTTTTGAAACAGGTGACAGAAAATGTCTAGAAGTCATAGTAACTTTTCATCATCTGTCATTGTGTGAAATATATTCACCGTAAGGCTATATGAAGGGAAAACTGATATTTAAAGGGTATCGAATTATGATTAAAAATGTTCATATTTAGGTCAAGTAGTGAAGTCATAAGTGCTTTATTAATTTTGTGATTAGAGATTTAGCATTAACCCTGACCTTAAATGTATATCATTGGTTACAAAGGACATGTGGCAAGTATTAATAAATTTATTTAAATTGTCCCCACTAATTAAACACCCTTGCTTTTTCATGACAGATAAATTGCATAATTTTCCACTTGAGATACTTTTACAGAATAAACAGTTGTCTGTTGGCATTATTTAAAATCCTAAACTAGATTCCAGAGCTAGAGAAAATAGTCATATAAAATAAATCCTGTTCTTTATGTAGTCCTTAATTACTTCCACAATGGTTAAAATATTTTAAATTTTGGCAAATAATGAAATGATATGACAACTTGGGTAATTGTGTTCTTACAATTTAATTCAGTAATTAAGTACAGTTTGATACATCCATTTTTATTAAATTAGATGATTGTGTGAAAATAACCTTACTCATTTTACCCATGTTTAGCTGGATCCAGAACGAAGTTTATTTGACCAAGGAGTAAAGACAGATGGTACTGTACAGCTTAGTGTACAGGTAATTTCTTACCAAGGTAAGTTAATTTTTGTGTAGTTATTTAAAACTTTACTCGTGTTTTTCCAATATGAGAACTCATTTTATAAGTTTTGGATGTTTTAGATGGTTGTCTAAATTACTTAATGTGATGTTATAGCCAGATATTCATGGTTTTTAATTATTTTATGTCAGGATGAAGCAGAGAGTATCACATATTATCTGGTTTAATCAGCAAGGAATATATTGCAGGGTAATAAATAACAGGATCACAGAGAGGGCTGGAAGAACAGGTTCTAGATGGCTTTCTAAGAATGCCTCAGCCACACCACAGCACTGAGCTGCCAGGGAAGCTGCTGCCCTGCCTGCCAGGGTCTGGAACCATGCAGCCTTTTCAGTGATCCACAGGAGCTGAAAAATGGATGCCATGTGCCTACTTATTTCCTATTAACTCATTTTTCAATAGAAGGCTCATCCAGTGATTCTAGAGCCTAAGTCACATTGGGTAAACCTTGCTGCAAGGAGATCTGTTCTTTGCAGTTTAGCACAAAAAGAGGAATTTGCAAAGGAGGTTGCTTTATTCTCTTTCTTGCCCCCTAATTTTTTTTTACCTGTTTACGAATAAGTTGCAGGCATGATCCCCTTCTATTCATAAATACATCAGACCATGTGTTTTCTAAAAACAAGGAATTATTTTACATCACCACAGTACAGTTATCAAAATTAGGAAATATTGACACAACACTGTTATCTAATCTACTAAAGTTCTGTTGAATTGATGTTTTTATCATTGAATAGGAATCTCTTAAATTCTCTAGACATATTGCTAAACATTTAAAATGGAGTTTTGCTCTGTCATTTGAAAACATATAAACTAAACTAAATTTTCCTAGTGAATTTTGTGTTTTCATTTAGATTTTTTTTTTAAATTCACTCTTAAGGAATTGAACCAAAGCTCAACATCCTTGAAATTGTTAAACCTGCGGAAACAGTTGAAGTAGTTATTGATCCAGATGCTCACCACGCTGAGGCAGAAGCACATCTTGTAGAGGAAGCTCAGGTGATAACTCTCGATGGCACAAAACACATTACAACCATTTCAGATGAAACCTCAGAACAAGTGACAAGATGGGCTGCCGCGCTGGAAGGTTATAGGAAAGAGCAAGAGCGCCTTGGGATACCCTATGGTAAGAAAATACATAATTACATTTTAGGTGGAATAAAAAGAATTAAGCTTGACATAGAAGAAACTAGAATAAATAAGTTATAATTTGTTTTAAATATAGGATTTTTAGGAAGAATATTGATTTTCTGTATTGCTGTCATTTTTTTGGCCGTAACACATGATGGGCAAATACTGTTCTGCGTGCTAAGAATACAAAGAAATACAATCATGCTTTGCTTAAAGACAGGGATACATTCTTAGAAATGCATTGTTAGACAGTTTGTCATTGTGCAAACAGGCCGCACATACACAAACCTATCACTCCTAGGCTGTAAATCTGTCTGTCATGTTACTGTACTGAACACTGTGGGCAGTTGTAGCATAATGGTAAGTATTTGTGTATCTAAACATGGAAAGGTACAGTAAAAATATGGTATAGAAGATAAAAGCGATACCCTTGTGCAACACGTACCATGAATGGAGCTTGCAGGACTGGAAGGTGCTCTGGGGGAGTTAGTGAGTGAGCGGTATGAATGTGAAGGCCAGGAAGTTACTGTACACTATGGTAGACTTGACCCACTATACACTAGGGATACCCTAAATTTACAGAAAAATTTTGTCAATAAATTAACCTTAGCTTACTGTATCTTTTTTACTTTATAAACTTAATTTTTTTAACTTTTCAGCTCTTGTAGTAGCTCTTAGCTTAAAACACAAACATTTTACAGCTGTACTAAAAATATTTTCTTTATATCCTTAGTCTAGAAGCTTTTTAAAAATTAAATTTTTTTTTTTTACTTTTTAAGCTTTTTTGCTAAGAACTAAGACGTAACACATACATTACCGTAGGCCTAACACAGAGTCAGAATCATCAGTATCACTGTCTTCCACCTCTTCCCACTGGAAGGTCCTCAGGGGCAATAAAGAACTGGCATGGTGCTGTCATCTCCCATGAGAACAGTGCCTTCTGGAATACCTGAAGGACCTGCCTGAGGCTCTCATTGAGGAGGTGTCACTCTTTTTAGAAATATGTCCATAGTGGTTTGCTTATTTTGTTGTTTTTATCAGATTTGTTTGTGAGCAGATAATGCATCATGAACATTCCTCTCTGTCATCCCTTTCAGTGTGGGGTCCATGTTTTAAAATTCTTTAAGGAGTTTGTTGAGGTCTGCAAAAGCTTCTGCTAAACCCTCGCTGTCAGATTTCTTGGGGGTTCTTTTTCTTCTGCAGTTTCCTTTTCTCTTGCCTTTTCTTCAGCTATGTGTTCCTGTTCCAGTTCCAGCAACTCATGAGTCAGTTCCCTAGGAACTACCTCTGGGACTCAGTGTCCTCCTCTTCCACACCCAGGTTAAGTTTTCTGACATCTCAACCACAGCTGGTTGATTTTTGCAACCTTTGCACCACACAGTGTTACAGTGTCAGTAGGGGATAGGAATTTTTCAGGTCCATTGTAGTCTTATAGGACCGATGTCATGAATGTGGTCCATTGTTGACTGAAACATAATGCAGCACACAATTGCATAAAAATTTCTAGCCCTGGCCAGTGTGGCTCAGTGGATAGTGTCGGCCCCACGCACCAAAGGGTTATGAGTTGGATTCTCAATCAAGGGCATGTATCTTGGTTGGGGGTTCGCTCCACCCCCCAACCCCAGTCAGGGCGGGGGCAGGAGGCAACCAGTTGATGTGTCTCTCACTGCTGTGTTGCTCAAGAGTGTGCTCGCTCGCTCTCTCCCTCCCTCCCTCTCCCTCTCTCTCTCTCTCTTCCCCCCCCTCCTCCCCTCCTTCCTTCCTCCTTCTCCCCCCTTCCATTCTCTCTGAAAAGCAATGGAAAAAAATGTCCTCAGGTGAGGATTAACAACAACAAACACTTCTACCCTTAAGGTGTTCATAGTGTAGCTGAAGTGAGAGAAGGTAGATGAGAAAAGACAATTTACTACATTATCTCCCATTTCATTTGACCCACTGGAGAGCAATTTTGCATTTTGTTTGTCTTGATAAAATTTCAGACTGACTGATGTGGAACAAACATGAATCCATAAAAAATTTAGTTGAAGAAATGGAAAAGGAGCTGAGGAGAAAATGTAGCATACAGGTCTTTTTACTTTATATACTGAGTTTATTTACTTGATGGGAAAAAGCTGTCTGGATTTTATCTGTGTGTGTGTGTGTATTGATAGCTTAACTGTAAATGTATATAATATCTAAGATGGAACTAGGTTAATGGTAATATTTTTCTTTTTAGATCCTATACAGTGGTCCACAGACCAAGTCTTGCATTGGGTAGTTTGGGTAATGAAGGAATTCAGCATGACTGATATAGACCTCAGCACACTCAACATTTCAGGACGAGAATTATGTAGTCTCAACCAAGAAGATTTTTTTCAGCGGGTCCCTCGGGGAGAAATTCTCTGGAGTCATCTGGAGCTTCTTCGAAAATGTATAAATTGGAGTTATTACCTATTTACATTGTAACTTAAGTTTAATTTTATTTCTTTATAACTTTGTTATTGTAATTGCTTATCGATAATAGCAGTAATACTTAACATTTATTAACTGAATTAGGCTGTGCTAAGAGTTTTATGTGTATTATTTAATCTCTGTATTAAGGCAGAGTGCCTATATGGTCTTATTCCAAGCTTTCAAAAACTTCTATCTTCCCAAGTTGTGCCTTTTATTTTACTTTGATAGTTCCCAGGGAACAGACCAAACTTTTCCTGAGAATCAGGACTTAGAAGATGATCTTAATAGGTTGGTCACACCTGTGCTACGTGATGGTGATTCTCTCATTTGCCTTTTTAGTCCAGGGCACCTTTATTTATTTACAGTCATGAATGGAACAATTTCCATTTCAATAGCACTTTGCCTCTTCAAGGTTCTTTTATAAAATTTTGGGGGGAAATCTGCCACAAACATATGGTGTGGATTTTTCTTAGAGAGACAACAGTTCTTGGGGGAGCATGCTCAGAACTAGGAATCTGGATAAAACAGTAGCATCTTCAGTTTACTGAGAAGTTAACTATATTTCAGGCACTGTGCTTCTGAAAAGCATTTTCTTTTAATCCTCATGAGGTGGTAGGTGGGGGATATCTCATTTAAACAAGGAAATTAATGTTCAGGTTGGTTGAACCAAAGTCACACATCCAGTAAGTGAGTGCTCAGGTCAGAACCCAGATCTCTGTGAGGCTCGTCCCATATAATTATTTAAACCCCCAAACCCAGGACCCCCAAAGAAAACTCCCACCTAACAGGTGGGATTCAGACTTCATTTTAGTTCCCCAGCCCTCTCTAGCTGTGTGTGTCTGGCAGGGGATCCCTCTGTGGTACCCTAAGTAGAACTGTGTTGGGAGCCCAGGTCCCAGGACTTATTCTCAGTACACACGATTGCTGGTGGGTATAATTCAGTTTCAAGACAGAAGCTTCCAGGCAGTGATGGGCAGTTAAATAGGCTAAAGGAATAGAGACTGGGAAGTATATCTCTTGTTTGAGAAGTAAAGAGCATTTGAGTAAGGAATAGCAAAAGATGAGTAATGAGTGCTCTCTGCAACAGGTTATACTGGGGCCCTTTACCATGTAACTCTTGTTGAGAGCTGTACATGTAGATGTTAAATTACCCAGTTCAGTTGTGACATTTAGGACAGCTAGAGTTTTAATGAAAATTTAGCTGTCTTTAAGAAGCATTGTCAAGTTGAAGTAGTTTTATTTAAAAGTGGATGTTAGAACAGATGGTTAAATTGTGAAGATTTCTCAGGTCATCTTGAGGGGCATTTTGGTGGTGAATATATATCTAAGTAATTTCAGTGTGGTACCTTCCCATCTCTGATCGGTGTCAAAGATTTTCATGTTTACATGGTTTTGTGTAGATAGGTAAATAGATTTAAGTATAGGCATTTATATTTAGAAAACCGTGATTCTCTGAATAATGAACTCTAAAAGAAATTGAAGCTTTCTCTCTGTTACGCCCCTTAAAAATATCTGTTCGTTTTAAAGTGACTGTCAAATATTTTTTAAAGTTACCATGCCAGTAAGTTTCAGTTATTGGATGCTTTGCTTTTCTTGTTTGGTTGTAATTGTGGAGTTCCTTTTAAAAGAATATTTATTAAGTTCAGTTTTACTGGATTGGGTTGGCCTTTCTGGTTTTAAATGAAAACAAAAATTTTTATGTGTGTTCTTCAGATGTATTGGCAAGCCAAGAACAACAGATGAGTGAGATCGTTACAATTGATCAACGTGAGTATTCATGCCATAGTATACAGCCCATTTATCAATAAGATATGTTTCATTCAGTACTGCAAGGGATAAAAAGAAAAACTTAAATAGTTATGAAGTATTTTAGGTATACAAAGAACTAATAAACTCTAACCAACGTCTTTGTACACCATAACACCATACACTGTTAAAAACTAAATCTTTTTATCATTCTTTGCATATTTTATATTTTTACCAACTATGTAACCATAAACACTTTATAGCATTGTTTTGCATGTTTAAACTTTTCGGGTAAAATGGTAATATACTACGAATATACTTTTATAACTTGCTTTTTTTGTTTAAAAGTTACAAGTCTTACCCATATTGATACTTACTGCTCGAGTTCATTTTCACTGCTGTATGTTAAAACTTCATTAACATTACACTGAATAAGTATTTGTCAATATATGTGAGATTCTGGTTGTAGTATCATAAGGTTTCTACCTTTCAATCTTACTAGGTATTACCAGTTATTTTTCTCAAAGTGTTGATATAAATTTGGACTCTCATCGGTAGTGGAATGAGAGTTCTCTTTTGTCACATTTTCTCCAGCATTTAATAAACCATTTTTAATGAACAGATAGTTTATAACTGCATATACATCACTAAGTTATTTCACAAATAAGGCCAACTGTTATGCACTAAGTTAAGGTTCATGAACCATAATGCAAACAGACATCATACCTTGTCCTTGTAACTTTTTTTGTAATTTTGTTCAAAACTATTATGGATTAAGGTGGTTTTTTTTGAAATGAGGGCTTTTGTTGAGGTAATTAGAGGGGCATTAGTTAAACTAATTGCATTTTGTCTTTCAGTAGTTTTTTTCACTGCTTGTATTAGAAGGGAAGACAGTTTGTTCCCTTGCCTTTCTTTGCAGCTGTCCAAATTATCCCAGCATCCGTACAGTCAGCTACACCTACTACCATTAAAGGTATAAACAGCAGTGCAAAGGCAGCTAAAGTCCAAAGAGCTCCCAGGATTTCAGGAGAAGATAGAAGTTCACCTGGGAACAGAACAGGTATTTTTGCATTTTCATCTGGTATTCATAAAATCTGTCAGATTATGTCTGTTTTGTTTTATTTCCCTATAAAATTGTGAGTATAGGCTAGTTCTCTGGCAGTGCTTAGCATTTGAAAAAACTGTGCTTTTAATATGGCTGAGATAAGAACCAGAGAACCTATCGCCTTTGCCCTCTGTTAATTCATAGCACTATGGTCAATGCTTCCCCTTGTCAATTCAGGAAACAATGGCCAGATTCAACTGTGGCAGTTTTTGCTAGAACTTCTCACTGACAAGGATGCTCGAGACTGCATTTCTTGGGTTGGTGATGAAGGCGAGTTTAAGCTAAATCAGCCTGAATTGGTTGCACAAAAATGGGGACAACGTAAAAATAAACCTACAATGAACTATGAGAAACTCAGTCGTGCATTAAGGTAAGCATTTAGTACTTTTTAAAATGAGTATCAAGCTTTTCTGAAAAATGACTTCTTCCAGGTGTAAACATTGTTAGGTAATGATGTTAAAATACTTGTTCATAAGATGTTGTTTTCTTTATATATTAAAAAAAACTAAAAGTTTTCACATGCAAAAATGACTTTTAAAAATATCTTTTGTAATTTTGAGGTACATAAGAGTTTTTAAAAAGGTTATTCTTAGATTATTTGTTTATCAGGGAAAGCCTTTATTTCTTCTTTGTTATCTGAAGATTAATTGCTGGGTAGATTATTCTTGGCTGGCAGTTCTTACCTTTTATTATTTTGAATGTCATTCTACTCACTCCCAGCTTGTCACATTGCTGAGAAATCTGATAGCCTAATGGGGAAAAGTTACTTGTTTTTATTTTATTTAAAAGCATATACAACTCTGTTTAAAACCAACATTTTTAATCTTTGAGGTTTCTATTATTTACATAACAGATAAAGATACTGTCATTTGCATAGGTGAATTGAGTATAAACTTGAGCAAATATACAGATATTGTCTTTTTATAATAAGATGCAAAATATTGGCCCATTTTCTTGTTTTTTCTCCCCATACAATCTGCCTAAATCTGAATATCCAACCTTTACATTAATAAAAGTGGAATGGAATAAAATTATTTATAATTTCCCCTACCTGGAATGAAATTTTTGATGTAATTACTATAAGAAATTATGTTTACTACAATGATGGAAATTCAGTATATGTATTTAAGTGTCTGGGAAGTAGAATATATAGGAATGTCATAGAATTATGTCTCTTATTTTTTGAAGAGTGAATATAGTAACGTAGTTCTGCAGTTTACCTCTGTATTTCTCAACATTTTTACTGCTACTTCATGTTTCACTTGGACATTGTGTATGAGTTTCACAGTGAGAGATTGTGATTCACTTCTCATCACACACACACACACACACACACACACACCCCCACACACACACCCACCTCCCCACCCCCCCCAGTTCTGTGAGGGTAAGTACTGTTTTTAACCCCATTTTTATTTATTTATTTATTATTTTTTAAATATATCTTCATTGATTTCAGAGAGAGGAAGTGAGAGAGAGATAGANCCACACACACACCCCCACCTCCCCACCCCCCCCAGTTCTGTGAGGGTAAGTACTGTTTTTAACCCCATTTTTATTTATTTATTTATTATTTTTTAAATATATCTTCATTGATTTCAGAGAGAGGAAGTGAGAGAGAGATAGATAGAAACATCAATGATGAGAGAGTCATTGATCAGCTGCAGCCTGCAACCCGGGCATGTGCCCTGACTGGGAATCAAACCCTGATCGCCTGGATCCTAGGTCGACACTTAACCACTGAGCCACACCCAGCTGGACTTTAACTCCATTTTTAGATGAAGACTAAAAGCTTAGAGAAAAGGTGGCTTTCTTCTGGGCACAAAGGAAATAAAGTTAAAGATGCTAGATTTCGAATCTTAGCATTCTGACTCTCAACCCCTGTTCATAAGTTCTGTTACTGCTCCCAAGATTTTTGTTTTATTTAATAATGTTTATTTTAAAATCAGTGTTTTGTCATAGTTGTGGGAAGTATGCTTTGAAAATTTAGTATATAAACTTTATAGTTTTGGAGTACCGAGAATCGAAATTTTAGTAAATAATGTTTTGAAGTTTTCTTTATATAACTGATGTGTTTTTCTGTTTTTAAAGGTATTATTATGATGGGGACATGATTTGTAAAGTTCAAGGCAAGAGATTTGTGTACAAGTTTGTTTGTGACTTGAAGACTCTTATTGGATACAGTGCGGCAGAGTTGAACCGTTTGGTCACAGAGTGTGAACAGAAGAAACTTGCGAAGATGCAGCTGCACGGCATAGCCCAGCCTGTCACAGCAGTGGCCCTGGCTGCGGCCTCTCTGCAGGCCGAAAAGGATAACTGAGCCCAGCGCCCGCTGGGATTGCGAGGTCTTTTGTTAACTGCGAGAGCAAGTATTGCTCTTACCTTTATTACTAAATTTGAACCTTCTTTTATTTCTAGGCTGTACAGTCTGATGCATGATTTTTTTATAAATATTTCATACTCTTGTGAATTTGGATCTTTTTACTTTGAGCATATATTTTAGAATATGTATATGTTAAAGTTCACCACAATGGCTTCAGTATGAAGGCAGTTCATTGTGGGATAGTTTGTTAACAGTCAGGAAAGCTAAACTGGTCAGTATTAATGTCTAACCCTACCAAAAATAGCCAGTAGCATCTGAGGATGGAAAATAAATGAAGTATCTTCAGGAAACAGTCTGGCTTAACTATTTTTGAAAATATACCTGTTTCCCTTCTCTGCTGCTTTAGATGTTGCTTTACATAGAACCAGAAAATGGAATTTTAACAGCTAAAGCATGTGTGCCTGTTTCATCTAATCAAGCAGAGCTAAAAGAGTCATATCAAATAAAAGCATAATATTAATAAATTACTAACCCAATAGTATCAGGTTATTAAAGTAATTTATATAGTTGCAAGTGAAGGATGTAAGTTGACTGTCAGAAGAGCAGCGCTAAGGAGGAAGATCCAGAGTTAAATCTGGCTCAACTCAAGCAGTTTTAAGGATTTTCTGTATAGATTATTCATAATGTCAGGCCAAGAATTTAAATTATTTTAAGAGAGGCATTTAATTCTAATAAACCAACTATTATAAAAATTTTGAAATGATCTCTGTTTTTCCTGTCAGAGATTTAAAAAACTGAGAAGTATACCTCAGCCAGAAAATTGGTTTGGTTTGGCTTCTTTCTCTCTCTCTCTCTGTCTCTGTCTCTCTTTTTTTTTAATTACCCTTTAGTGCCGGTTTATTATGCAAAGCAGCTTATAGTCATTGTGTTTCTGATGAAATGAAGACTTTAAATCAGTCAGCAGTGCTTTACCTTTGGAAACATTAGTAAATTACTTCCAAATAGTTTAAAAAGGAAATTTTGACCTCCAGTACAGGCAGTCTTCTCTTCAAACAAAATTTCCCATTTATTTAATTTTTTCCTTTTGAAGATTAATGTGTGTATATACAACTGTCTACATATATATGTCCACTTGACAATTTCCTGTCAGTACCGATACACACATATGTGAAGACATAATATTCAAAAGGAAAGATATTTCAAAAGATAACTCATTTTTTAAATCTTAAAAAATTAATAATTATATATATATATATGAAACTACTTATGACAAGCTAACACTAAACAGAAGTGGCTAGAAATATGTATCTTTTTTGCCTGCTCATTCGCTTTACTTGCTTTCTTTTTTTGTTTTGTTGTTTGTTTTAAGGTATTATGTACAAATCCTGATGAGATACTGGCAGATAACTTCTAATCCTCTTATAGCAGAAGATTGATCCTCAGATACTATTTTATGCACCTTCTCCCTTGTCATTTACTTTAAATTCACCCCTCTAAACAGCTTTATAAGAGTTAGTTAATGCTTTTGACTAACCAGGAGGAAAGGGCCATGGTAATATAGGCTGGGTGGCATGTTAGCAGTGGCTGCCATCAATATACTGAATAGTGGTTTGGAATGAATTGCAGGAGGCAGGGCTCTTAGGAACAAGGAAGAGAGGAGAGATCTATTATCTCCTTTCCTTATAACCTCAAATCTTAATTTTAAGAGCTGTGCTATAGGGCTACAAAGTATAATGTCAGTTCATTTACGTTATTGTATTAAGTCCTTTAAGACCCTGCAGTAGATATCTAAAAAAGAATAAAATTTGTAACTTCCCACTGTTACCATTTTTATAAACACACACAAAATAGACTGACACATTATTAGTATATATTGAGTGCCGTGGTTGCAAGAATATCTGAGTAGACTAGCAATGTGACATAATATACAGAAGCAAATAACAAAGAGCTAAAAAGGTTTCGCACCATCCTCTATGGCCTGGGTTGTTAACAAGTCACTTAGAGTTTTAAATAATAAACTATACTATTCTGCTATATTTTCAAGAACTTAAAATATTTGATTTTTGAAATGTTTTTGAAGTGACGGTATGTTAACATTTGAGCCAGGATGGCAGACTTCCTTTATGCCTCAATTATAGGTATATATGTTTTTAAGGCAAGAAACGCCCACATTTCTTCTAGCTCCTTAAAATCAAACTATTATTTCTTTTTCTCCCTTAAGCATTTCTCAGCTGCTTTAAAAAAATTCTCCCTTTTCTTCAGCAGTTTTTATTTCTCATTATAATTGGAACATATGCAGTTTCCGTACATGATCAAGTGCTTTTCTGTTGTCTTTGCCTCCTATTTTATGCACCTTAGCATAGGTAAAGCAATGAGGCTGATTTCCCCAGTTGATTCAGGAAACATCCATTATTCGGTCTCAGCTTACATAAACTATTCTCATTGTCCTTACTGAGGTTACAGCTATCAGAAAGTCAGGTGTCTTTTTTTTTGAAAGATTATGAAAGAAAATATAATTCACGCTATTTGTTCTTTGCTGTTTTTTATGTATGAATTTTCCATAGGAGAATTTGTAGTATATTTGAAGGAAGAAAGATAAAATTATTGGCCATCTTTTGTACCTTAAGTACAAGAATAATGAAATGTTCACTTTTTGTTTAAAACTTGTTTTCCACATGAGGTTCTCACTGAGCCACTTTCCTGAGCATCGAACGAGCCTAAAGTTTGGCGGTTTGTGTTGGCATCAGAAAATCCAATTAGGCAGACTTGCTCCATGTGGTTGATCATCACAGGCATCACCTCATCAGACTCATTCCGAATCAGGCAGTGTCAGTTAATTAGGAAAGATAGTTGAGCGGGTTTTCTCCCCGACTAATGGTGAAACTTGGGTGATATTTCTTTAAGGAGTTGTACCTCCAGATATTTATGGTGAGGTCTGCTATTTTCCATATTCATCATTTTATGCTACTGCCTTTTAAAAAGAACTAGTGTATCTTTGAAATAGCACAAAAATGTTTTTAAATTCATAATTGCAAAACAACCTATAACTAACTTAATGTCTTCATATCTAGAGGGTGTAAAAATATTGATATTCAGTGATAATTCACTTGCTGCCAGAAAAAAACTCACTTTTTTGTAAAGGGAGGAGGGTTTTTGCATACATTTTTACTGTTTAAATAAAGACACTTATACTGTCATAATAACAATTATGTATTTCTTTGTGGTTTTTATTTTTTTTTGTAATTTTACATAAAACAGTTATTTTCTATTTTTACTCAGATAAAAATATTTGTGCATAAAATGTAAAAATAGTAAAATGAGAAAAATAAAACTATTATACAGTATGTTTCTGTGTTTGGAGTTTTATTCCTGCAAGCGGTCTCAAATTCCAGGGATAGTTGGTTGGATGAAGATATGACAGTCCACATTTGATGCGTATATTTTATTTCCACATACTTGAAAACTTGTGAAGAACGTGTTTCATGAACTAAAATTGAGTGGTTGAGTTTAGACTTTAAAAAAAAGAAATCCCATCCACAAAGCCAAACCATTATATAATAACAGAAGAAATGCTAAGACTGAGTACTTGTCAAAAAGCAAAACTAGAAATTCCTAGTAAAACCTTTTTTTTTTTTTNCCACAGCATCAGAGGTCTCCCTTCAGCACAGCACTGTTGCTCAGATATAAAATCTCTACCTTCCATTTCTTTTGAATTCCTGTTTTTAGTGCATAAGAATGAGGGGAGCAGATTTCACCCATCATCTCCTACACTCACCCTCCTATCAAGGATTTTAAAGGACCCTTCATAAGAGTTAAAAAAACTTTTTTTTTTTTTTTTAATTAAAAAAAAATTACTTGTCCATGTTGGCTGAGTAGCAACAGGATGCTTCAGCCAGGACTGAACTGTAGAGGGATCAAAGGGGACAGGAGAATGACTTGTGCTTTTGTTTATGGTCAAGCAGGAGTTAGACTTTAATGGAGTTAAAGAAATTACAGTTTGAGTGAAATAAATTGCTTTAAAAATAATCTAATTTCACCTGGTTTGGAGTGATGAAAATCATCAGTTAGGAAACTAGTGATATGTATTTGTTCTCAACCAGACACTGATTTTTTTTTAAGTAGAACTTTAAAGGTTGATCTGCAAACTAAGTACATGTTAAAAATGCTTTCTTTTTATTAGTAAACTGACTTAGAACATCACTTTTAAAACTTTCTGAGATAAAGGGCCTTTTTGTTTCCAGTTGGTCACAGACTGAAATTTTCATAAAACAAAAAAATGAATTAAAAGGGGGAGGAGGAAATGGGGAGTTTAATGGATACAGAGTTTGAATTATGCAAGATGAAAACTTTGTGGAGCTTGGATACACAACAATAAATACACAACGATACTGAATAGTACACTCAAGCATGGTTAAAATGGTAATTTTATGTGTATTTTACCACAATCAAAATTGTTTTTAAATAGAATTACCAGAGTTTTAAAAAAATCAGTGTAATTCACCAAATGAACAGAACACGGGGTGGGGGACATGGTCATCTCAATAGGTGCCGAAAATGTGTACAATAAAATTCAGTATCTATTTATAATAAAAACTGAGCAAACCAGAATTAGAAGGGAACTTCCTTAACCAATTTCTGTGGTTTCTGACAGTATCTGAAAAACCTACAGCTACCATCATACATAATGATTTGTTTTTCTCCTAAGGTTTGGGGAAGGCAAATGCTGTCATTATTTCTATTTAATACTGTACTAAATTCAGGTCCAACCTATGGAATAAGGCAAGAAAGAGGAAAAGTATACATACTGTAAGAAATTAAACTCTTTGTAGAAGACATAATCAAACATGTTGAAAATCCTAAAAAAAATAAACTAGAATTAAGATATAAGGTCAATATACACAACTCAGTTTTATTTCTACATGCTAGCAACATATAATTGGCAATTGAAATTTAAAAGCTGCCATTTATAGAATTAGAAAACATGAAATAATTATGGACAAATATAACAAATTTATGCAAGACTTGTGGAATGAAAACTACAGAAATTGGTAAGAAATGAAGTGGATGGAGATAGACCATAAATGTGAATCGGAAGACTCACTTTTATACATGCTAATTATCCTTAAATTGATGTATAAATAATGCAATTCAAGTAAAAATTCTGGCAGTCTTTTTTGTAAACAAAATTTAAGTGTAAAATTTATGTGTAAATGCAAATGACCCAGAATAGCCAAAACAATTTGGAAAAAAAATTAGAGGACTTACACTATGTAAAGCTTTGCTATTTAAAGCTGAAGTAATCAAGCTGTGATACTGAGATAAAGATAGAAATGGACCAATGAAGAGACCAGAAGTAGACTCACACTTATATGGCTTACTGATTTTTGATAGGTGCCAAGACAATTCAATAGGAAAAAGATAATCTTTAATAAATGTTAGAACTGGATATATTTATGGAAAAAAATGAACCTCAATCCTTACTTCATATCACACATAAAGGTTAGATGGGCCAAAAAATGGATCATTGCCCGGTCGGGCGTGGCTCAGCAGTTGAGCATCGACCTAGGATCCAGGAGATCGCGGTTTGGTTCCCCGTCAGGGCACATGCCCAGGTTGCGGGCTCCATCCCCAGTCCGGGGCGTGCAGGGAGGCAGCCGATCAACAACTCATCATTGATATTTCTCCCTCTTCCTTCCTCTCTCTGAAATCAATAAAGATTTTTTTTTTTTTTTTAAAGAATCATCAACCTAAAAATAAAAGGAAAAACTCTAAAACTTACAGAAATAAAACATATTCATGACTTTGGGGTAGGCAAATATTTTTTTAGATAAGACAACCCAGTAAAAGAGACTACAACATTTTTTAAAACCTTTGTTTTTTAAAACACTTTTAAAAAGTCAAAGCACGGATTGGAAAAAAAAATACTTGCAATACATATATCTTACAAAGTATTTTTTAAAAAACAATAATAAATACCTGTTGTTTGTAAATAGTTTATCCAGTAGTCATTGGTATTTTGCTAAGGCAGCCTGAACACACTAAGACAGAGACTGGATTGATTTTCTCTACTTAAACAAATGTAAAAAAAAAGAACATTTTTTTCAGACATTAGACATCAGGTAGTACAGGCCTGAGACCCTAAGAGGGGAAAGCAAAGGAGGGAAGCCCTGCGATGCCCCCAGCCTACTGCCTGGACTGAGATTCCAGCATGTGGCACAGGGCGAGGGAACTTAGGGAGAGATGGGGAGTCAAGACAGAGTGTGCAGAGCAGTCACAGAGAAGAGGGCTGTGCAGAGAGAGTTTGAGGGACCTGCAGGGGCTTCCCTGGGAGTCTTCAGCAGAGTACCGGTCTCTACACGCATGTGGGGACACTACCCAAGACAAGAAGGAACCACCTGCCAGGAGCACGGGAACAAAGCTCGGAGCTTCTACCAGGCAGAGAAAAATCTCATCATTCACGACACACTGTGTTCAAAGAAGACTAAAGGCTGCCGAGGTCCCACCTAGCAAAGCTTGAAAGGCAAGCCGAGGTCCAGAATAAAGCTTAGGATTACTTAAAGGAATAAAAAACAATAAAGTATTGCTTTTTTGCATTATCCTTAAAAATCTTACCTATTCCTCAAATTCCAACTAAACTGCCAACTGATTCTCTTCCTTTAAATTCTTGTTGCATTCTTTTATAGCCGTTAACACAGCCTATATTTCATAAGTTTTATCCAATTGTATTGTAAACAGTTTGTCCAGTAGTATTGTAAATCCCCAGGAGACAGAAAACATCCATGATTCATGCATATTTGTAGCCCTCTGGCATTGTTGATGCCTTACATATCTGATTTTAAAATATACATTTGCCTAATAAATGAATGACTATTCCAATAAAGTTTATCCAAAAGTAGTAGGTATGAATTGACTATTCATTTTATAACAAATTTATTTTG